ATATATTAAATATATTAAATATATTAATTACATTATATTTATATTTATATTTATATTTATATTTATATTTATATTTATTCAATTATGCATATATACATATATTATTATTTTTATTTATGTTTTAGAATAATCATTTTATATATATATTTATATTAATATAATTAAATTAATATATTTATAATATTATATATATTTTATATTTATATAATTATTTTTATTTATATATATTTATATTTTTTTTTAATATATTTAATACCTTTATTAACATTTATTTTATATAATATTAGAATATTTTTAAAGTATATATTTTTTTGAATCAATATTTATATATTATTTTTATTTCGATTTAAAATATTAATATATTATATATATTTATATATTCATATATATACTTTTACAAATTATCATAATTATATGTAATTTTTTTTTTTTTTTTTATTATATTATATTTATTAGATAAAGTATATTTTTTTTTCATTTTTTATTTATTTTTTATTTATATTAAGATTGAGAATAAATAATAAGAAATAATTTTCATAAATTAAAAATTTCAAAATATATTATTCACTTATAAATTAGGAAATAATATGGTAATATCAAAATAAAAAAATAAAATATATTCTCCCTAACCAATTAAATAATATTATAATTATGATAACTTTTCTATTTTATCTTCTATTTTTATTATTTAAGATTAATCTTATATGGAGGAAATTACTAAAATAAGAGTAGATTCTATGAATTAAATAAGTAAATAAATAAATTTTGAAGATAAAAAATTTAGCTTTAACTTTTACGAATATAATTCTTAGGATATTTTTAAATAATTAGAATTAGAAATATTTTAATTCGAAATTAATTCTAGTTATTGAAAATAATAAATAAAAATATTTTTAATAATATGAAATTGTACATAAAAATATTGAAAATATTATTTTAAACTGGATTATTTTATTAATATATATAATTAATTATAGAAAACTCAATAATATAAATAAAAACATTATTATATTTTTTTTAAAGATTTTTCTTTGTTAATTGATTTTTAAAAAATAAAATTATATTCAAAATAAAATTAATTAATTAGAAAGTCATATAAATATATGATATGTTATATAAAAAA